CATCCCTTACGACTCCCGCCTCTCCTTAGCAAGGCAACATTGCCTTCTCCGTAGATCGCTTCCCAGCAGGTGTGGCCATTTACATGTACAGTAAATGCTTCCTATTCCGGTACTGGTATAACTTAATTTCCTGAAATTGTCGATGCAATCGTTTTAAAGAGGGATGAATTGATTGTGCCTCTGATGGGAATCCATCTGAGCCAGTCATTTATTCTAGCTCGCTCAAAGCTCGCGCTTCACACAACAGAACCTGCAACGAGCAGCACACTAGTCATGGGGAGATGGATGAAGATACAGCAGAAGCGTGAGCTCATCCAGAAGGCAGCTGATTGCCCAAGCATGACTCAAGAAGAGCTGGGAACGTGGGCAAAGGCAGAGTACAAGCTAAAACGAGTGCCACCACAAACTACAGTCTCCGACATCCTGAAAAACGCAACCAAGATCATTAAGCGAAGGCTACGGTGATGGAAAGAGGCGTAAGCCACTTCAAGTGACGTCGTCTGCGCTGGAGAAATTGCTACGTGACTGGATTATGAAGGTTGAAGCTAACGGTGTGTGTCTTTCTCGCGAATTAATTAAGATGAAAGCTCGTGATATTCAGAAAGACTTGTGTGATGCGTGGGACCTTACCTTTTCGGACGGATGGTTAACCGCTTTCGAACGAAGACATCGACTGAAGAGTCGAAAGCTGCCTGGTGAAGCTCACTCTGCAGATCCTGTAGCGGTTGGCTTAGGTCATCAGCAACTTCAAGAAATTACTGATCTGTACGAACCTAAGGATGTCTACAACATGGATGAGACAGGGCTTTGCTACGCCATGGCTCCGGCCCGCTCAATTTGTACTAAAGGAGCCCGCGGTGCCAAGAAAAAAAGACAAGAATCACCCTCGCTCTAACTGTAAACGCGGACGGGACTGACAAACTGCCGGTTCTGTTCCTGGGGCACGCAAAGAAGCCTCACAGTTTTAAGAAGCGCACGGCGGAGGAACTCGGCTTTAGCTACCATTCTAATAAGAAGGCGTGGATGACAGGCGTTATCTTCAGAGAGTGGTTACTCAATTTGGACAGGGATATGCGAGGGTGTGGGCGTCACATTCTCTTGCTTCTCGACAATGCCTCTTCACACAAACTGGGGGATTTTGTGTGCACCAATATTCGAGTGGAGTTTCTTCCTCCAAACACTACTGCGTTCCTACAACCTATGGATGCTGGCATCATCGCATCCTTTAAAATGGCGTACAGAAGGAAGCAACTCCAGTGGGTATACGACAAGATTAAGCACGGCGTTGAGATTGACAGAAAGGCGTACGCCGTGGATCAGTTGCAGGCGATGCAATGGAGCAAGGAAATTTGGAGTAAATTGCAAGGTAAGCGTACCATTGAGAACTGCTTTCGCCACACGGGCATTCTTTTCAATGCCGTAGAAGAAAGAAGCAGTGATACCGATTTTACAAGCTACGGATCTGATGTAGATGTGGAGGATATTATTCTCCTTCTCAGTTGAATTTGTAGTGTTACTTTTAGAAAATATATCAAATCCTAGGATATGTTCGGACCACGATACCGGAAGTAAGAGCATTTACTGTAGATCACTAATTTACTTTTCATAAATATACTAATTAAATATAGATTTCTTGAGAGCGGTCATTATGGATTATATTATTATTCTGTTTTAATGTAAATTTACTTATTTAAAGAAGTTTCTTGATGTGTCCATTGTCGACCATTTATTTATTTACTTTGGAAGACAGGAAAGCGTGCGTTTTTTTTAGTAAGTTGGGCAATCAAAACATGATAGTAATCAATGACGATCACCGCCAGAAGAAGAAACTATAGCAAATGAACAAAGTACGACTAAATCATGTCTGATGCTGACATCACCGAGATTCTTCTCAACACTGAACTTCTGACACTAACTCGAGAAAATCATGTTTGCAACCCAGTTGTGGCTGCCACAACAGTTATGTATAGATGCGACGAAACCGCTTTGTGCGACGTACTCGCCGGCAAGAGAAGTCTGGGTGCTCAGGCTGTCTGTGCATCCCCATGCCGGAGGATGTGACCACCAGAGCACAGAGCCTACCAGTTGGTCTCAGCTTCAGGCAACAGGCAAGCGCCTCAAGATTCCTCAAACATCGTTTCTACGTGTTATGTAGCAGCTAGCTTCCGAGATTGAGCAGGTACGCCAGGAGTCTGAGAACATAGATGATGTATTGGATCCTCCTCAGGTCTTAGAAAGGAGGCACATGCAGGGTTCCGTTAAATATCATTTATTTGGATTATAAAGGGCGAGACACATTTTGGTCATTGTGCTATCGCAAAGCCGTGCGAGCAATCTGCTCGTATGGCACGACTTGCGCTCGCCTCCGGCAAGACGCGCAAACACGTCCCCAAAACGGGGTACACCACACTTAGTGTCCCACGTGCGCACCGACAACCCTCGCAACAAACACGAGATGAAGAAGACCAGCTCCACAGCAACGGGCACCCTCCTCCCGTGAGTGCGCCAGACAGCGTCGACGAGGTACGCCTGGCTGGTGTGGGCCGTGAACGGTTTCCTTCCACTCTCATTCGTTGAAATGGAGTCTATTCGCATGTTTGTATTGGCTATAATTTGACCCAGTTTCCTATTATAACTTAAGTTGTTTCATAATCTGTGTTTTATGCATCCAATTGCCCCCATATTCGATCAAGACTCTGCTAGAGGACATGGAGGGTCTCACGAAGGCGGCCGAGGAGCACATGGGCAACGAGATGCCCGACAAGTTCGGGCTGATACTGGACGGGTGGACACACGAGTCCGAGCACTACCTCGCCGTCTTTAGCCGCTACGAGGCGCGTGCCGGCCCCATATACCCTCTGCTCTCTTTAGCACTGATCGTCTTTGATGCAGCGGGGCGGTTTGATGCCGATGCCCATTTGGAAGCATTTGTGGCATTCCTGCCAGTTTTGGGTTAGGAATTATCTATTTGCATTTTTTTGTTGACAACAACTGCGCTTTCAACATGCGCCTTGCTCGCCTCAAGGGTGTGCCGCTTGTTGGCTGCGCAAGCCATCGCTTGAATCTTATAGTCTAGACACTACTGGACCCGCACGAAAAGAACCTCGAGCAAGTCCAGTCACTGATGAAGCAACTGACCCAAGCGGCAAAGTTGGTTTTCTAACTATGGGATTATTAATTTCATTTTTTGTTTTAATCAAGACTGAAGACGCCACGTCTTTCTAAACTACGTTAGCAAACGCGCTGGTGGTCGACCTATGCGATACTAGCACGCTATTTTGAGCTGCGCGAGTTTATTAGCGCAGATGATGAAGAGATTGGCGAGCTGATGCCGTCGCCGGCCGCCAACCGCAGACTAAAACGCTGCTGAACGAAATGAGCGACGTCGCGTCGATCTAAAAACAAAACTACAATCGGAGGGCCTAAATCTTCTGGACGCCCGCGACCCTTTTGACGGGCTGCTTGAGATCAACCCACGTTTCACGAACTACCTCGGTAAGTCTTTGTTCTTCTTATTATTGCTGTTAACTCGTATAGCTTTTTTTTTAAATATGCATTTAAGTTTTAATGCCCACCGCAGGCATCGTGCACTCACCGGATTTTGAATCTGGTGTAGTGAAAGACATGAAAGCGACTTGTCGTGGGCTGAGAAGGAGGCCCATATCCCCTTTCGTTAGATGATCAGCAGGAACAGGAGCCCAAAAGAATACCCGACCAAGCTCGGCTTCGCAGATAGAGTTTTCAAAAACAGAAAGGTGTACGCGGAAACAAGTGCGTATGTGATACCGCCTACGTCTAACAAGGCGGAAAGGATGTTCAGCATGGCCCGCATGGCCATGCGATACAAACGGAACGACTGTCACCTCTGAAGTAGGAGATGTTGCTGTTTCTGACGGTGAGCAGCAGCATTTGGGACGTCACTACCGTTGGCGTGGTGATCTCGGTTGTACGGCAGCATATCGGCTTAGTTGCATGATCTCAGTTGCTGCTTAGTTTATTTGTCACGGCTGTGGGTACAAGTTATTTCTTTGCAGATATACAAAGCACCATGCAGGTATCTATTCGCATTAGAGGATTTTGGGCACACTCGTGCGATACGGACACTGAGCGCATATACATACTGGTTGCTGGTAGTTTTGATGCTTTAATTAATATAAACATACTGTTTTTATGTATTAACCTTGTTTTTAGTGATCCTTTCCTTCCCAGCAGTCCTAAACGATGCACCTTAAATTAGTGACTATCACTTATTTGACCTCTTTTCTTCGCTATGATAGCCAGTCGGAGCAGGAATGTATCCGGTCAACCACAACTCATGATTGGATTTAGTACTATTTCTTTAAAAAAAAAAGTTGCTATATATTTAAATATTTCCATCAATTATTAAAAATAAACCTTGAGGCTTTTATTTAAAATAGGTATTTATCAACAATAATTTTTTAACAACTTGTAAATACCTTGTTAGTAAATGAAATCTCTACGAAATATTAAATAAATGAGATATTACTTCGAAGTATTCTGTTTCTTTTATTAAGAAATTAGCAGCTCATATTCATACTTTTTTTCAAATCGCAAATTAGATTTATTGCACGCACCAGTGCATCGATGTCGTAACGATGCCAAGACATGCTCCCAGAAGTCTTAATTGCATACGCCAGTATACCGATATCATATCAGTGCCAAGACAGAAGATACACTGCATATACCGAAATCGTATTTGTGCCAAAACGGGATTCCCAGAACGATTAAATGTACGCACTAGTATTGTAATAACGTATCGGTTCCAAAACGACACTACCAGAAACCGTAATTGTACGAACCAGTATACCGATAACCTGTCGGGGCTCCGGCAAATGTTCAGAATAGGATTCTGAATCATAAGCTTATTTCTAATGGCAAGCACCAGGGCTTGGTAAAATGCAATATGATATTGATTGCTAGGTGGATTCCATGCCAATTAATAATGGTGTTATTTGTCAGTTTGTTACAATATACATCCATGACAGATGGATGCGTACGTCACATCGCCGCCTCGCACTTCATAAAAAAGAAAACCTGGGATCTAGCCAAAAGGGATACGCGCATTGGAATGAGGAGGGGGGTTCACCTGGAGAACCCTCCCGACGCGTCCCACCTCCCAAACGAACACCAATTCAAACATACTGATCGCATTGATGGATACATTTTTGTGATTATTAAAAAAAATACTGACTAAAACTACTAACAGTAGAAATACCGGTACCATAATCACAGTCAAAGTTTCTACACCTGAGCTTGTCAGTTCGCGTTTTCTTCTTCCCGAGGTCGTGTCTTCTTCTTCTTTATGAGATTAATTGCCTCCGCAACCGCACTTGCATCCCACAAGCTCCTATTGAACTGCAAAAAGAGTATCGTCTCCAACGTCATTGGGTTGAGGCTTCGGTGCAGACGTGAGAACACTATTCCTGCACGAGAGAACAGCCTCTCCACGTCGTTAGATGTGGGTGGGATCCACTTCAACTCCTCTCTAGATGAAGTCACTTCCCCCTGGCTCAACGCAACCTCGGCAAAGGATTGATGGCCATCTCCGCCTTCCTCTTGCAAATTCGTCGCCACAGTATCGGTGGTCTGTTGGAGCTTTACTACAGCTGCTCGTTCCCCTCTCGTCAGGGTATTCTCTTTGCCAGCCATAAGCTTAACGATACCGTTCTCGAAGTCGGGAAACTTGACCAACGAGGCCGTAGGTGACAGATACAGGTCCGTACCAGGGTAATGTTTGATGACATGGTCAAACAGAGCACGCACATCAAGCAGAGACACCATCGTCGTTTGTAGCTTCTTGTTCACACTCTCCAAGTTCTTGAGGTCTTTATATAGAGCCTTCAACCGGACATTCTCTCGCGGGGTGGGAATGAAGTCCGCCAATTGGTCGTCGATGCGGTCCAACTTCGAATAGATCCGAAAATAGCGGTCGATCATGGAGAACGTGCTGCTCCAGCGTGTTGTATTACGGTAGACAGGCATGAGGGCGTCTGCCTCGCGGAGATGATGCCGGTTCTTGATCGTGTTCAACTTGACCATGAGCGCATGGACTTTATCCAATATATC